CACATAATACTCGTCTATAGACCACTCGCACTGTCTGTCCAGCACTCGGCCGCAGTCGGGCCGGTCGAGCGGGTCATCCGATCCCAACCTCAACAGTATTTCTTGTAATTTAGTCACACATGTATTGATCGCGCGATTATTTGACTGATACCTAAATGTTATGCAAAATACTTAAATGAAAAATCGCAACATGGTAGATTTTTATATATAATTTTCATCAATACTTACAAACACTCATCTAAGTCAAAATCAAAAATCTGTTCACCAATTTTGGACACACTGTACAGATCGGACTTATGGTCATACTTCTGGCCTTCAATTACTTCCGGCGCGATATACAGGGCGTCCCGATTGGCGGCCGCTATACTGGTGTCGAGCAGCGAAGCCAACCCAAAGTCGCTAAGCTTTAAGTACCGGCCGTTGCGAACGGTTCGGGCGATCAACACGTTATCGGGTTTGAGATTGCGGTGAATGACCGCCGGTTTCGATGAATGCAAATACTGTACGCATTCCACGAGTTCTTTGAATAATTGGCACGAAATGAAAAACTCGACGGAATTCATTGCCTGAGCGGCCGTTTGGCGGCCAAACGCCCGCCGTTTGGCCGCTAATATATTGCGGAGACTATCGGCGCATAACTCCATCTGTAGGTAGTATTTGTCGCTTTCGAACCACGAGTTTAAATAGTGTACAACATAGTCAGAGCGTATTTTAATAAGGTTGTTTAGCTCCTTGAATAGTTGGGATTGGTCACAGAAATCAGCTTGAGCTAAAAGTGCAATAATGATGCAATATATTTTTAGTTTTGTAATGATTTTTATAATAAATCTTACATACCTTGTAGATCAAATGTTTTGACGGCATATTTTTGGCCATCCAATTTTCGCCTCACTTTGTATACTGTGCCAAATGAGCCTGATCCAATTTTACATAACTCATCGTATAGTCTACTATATTCGCTCAAGCTCCTTTTTAATTTTCTAGCCGTTTGATCTGTAAAATTTAATTACTTTATTTATTAAATTATTATACTGTATAATTTTTATGCATGTCATAAAACATACCATCAATTGTTCGCTTAATTGTATCAAACATTTTGTCCAAAAATAATGTATATTTCGCGACAAATCTATCGTTTTTAATGTGAGAATTCTCTCTATAATTAAACAAATTAATTGTTTTCAACGTATTGTCGCTGCAGTCAAACAAACTGCGATAATCTGTGATAAGTAAATCATTTTTATCATTCAGAAAATAAATCCTGTCGGTAATCACGGCCATAATCAACGATGATCGTTTGCGTTGAGAGTTGATTTGCTGCAACTCTTGGCACCTCCTATTCGTGTGGATTTTTGTCGGAAACTTTCTGAGGGAATATTCCCCGTTTTGGGCCATATATTGGCCGCAAAAATAAACTAAACCTTCATTTGATAGAAAGTATGTTATGAGTCCTGTGGAGCACACGGTCTCCACACCCGACAGACTGGCAATCATTAGGGGTTTCCCAACATTTCCCGCCACCGGATGTCCCAAATTGTGGAAATAATTTCGACCCCAACTGAACACATGGCCGGTGTATGCGATGGCAAACGACGAGTAACTCAAACAGTAAACCGATTTAATTTTGTATTCATTATTATTGTGTTTAAAATGCAATTTCTTAGGCACCGGTACTGCCGAGTGGGGCGACCGGCAACTGGACTCACCGCCGCCGCACCCGACCTGTCCGTATCGGTCGTAACCCCAGCCGTAGACACAGCCCTCGCCGGTGAGCGCCAGCGAGTGATACGAACCGCAACTGATGTGCGTTATATTCAGTCCGTTTAACTCAGGTATGGGTCGGGGCTTAAGATAGCCCTCCATGTGGTCACTGTTGGCTACTTGTCCGCTATTATTACAGCCCCAGCCATACACGCCCTGGTGTTCAGTGATGGCCAGAGCGAAGTCACCGCCGATGAAAAATTGTTGAATGTTTTTGTGACACAATTCCGGTATTATTACGGGTGTGTCAAAGGGCTGGTTGTGACCCAACCCGAGACACCCCCAGTGGTTGGCACCCAAGCCGTACAGCAAGTCATAATTGGTTGCGAACAACACGTTATACCCGAGTATGTCGTCAAATACGTGAAACAATTTGATCTCTTTAATGATGTTTTTGTTGCATTTCATTGAATTGATTGACATTGTATTTATTAAACACGTGTTTATTTAATTTTAAATACAATTTTTAATATAATTTTAATTTAAATTAATTTTTGTACATAAAACATGTAATATTTATTTCTTTGTATTGAAATGAATAATACATTACACAGTATTGTTTTGTATTAATTGCTATCGGTTTCTATAGCTTTAAAGTTATGAACAAATATTGTTATTAATAATTATTTCAGGAATTTCTATGACGATAACAAAAGTGTATTAAACAGTAGTTATTGGTTGTTATGACAAAAATCTATTGGTATAATAATTTCGTAAATATAAAATATTATTTATGATATAAATTGCTTAGAAAATAAGTATTAAATATAACTCATGTTGATAAAGTTTATTATTTATTAATTCCGGACACATCCTGTTAATGTTTACTATTGATATTTATAAATTATAATAATTAATAACAGAACTAATGTTTACTTAACACGATTAAAACATTATAATGTTGATTTTTAACCACATGTCATTTATGAAATGTGATTTATAAGATCGTTCGTTAGTAAAAGTGAATTATAAAACAATAGCAACAGGGTGTTAATAAAAAACAATATTATAAATAAACAAAAAGAAGTTTAACCATAATTAGGGTGCAATTATAATTGTTATATTGGATTCACCCTGAGGCAAATTGGTGTCCATCTCCACAATCCATTAGTGAACTCGTGTGGAGTCATGTCTGTGAACTGATTGACGCCCAACCGATACGTGTGAACGCCTTTGTTGTGGTCGCGAATCCGGCCGTAGTTTTGGGCGAATATCTGCCGGCGCTTTGACTCCGAGTAGTCGCGCATTATTTTCAATTTTTTGTCGGTCCGGAAGTTGAGCTTTAAATATAGAAATATTTTCATTAGTTGCGAAATTATATGACTTACGAGCAATACTCAGTTACTTAAGTGACTAGATTTTAACAAAAGGCCACTAATTGTGTAGTTTAGACGAAATAAAATCATTTTAGACCAATATATTTGCTGATAACTGAATGGACGTCTCTTGGGGGGGG